GAGGCTACTACCGCTGATAACAAGTATTGTTGTGCACTACTGTGTATGGTTGTTGGCTGGGCACAAGCTACTCTGGCGTATTGACTGTTGCAAGCTGCTGTTACCCGCGGCTACTACCGTTGCTACTAATCACTACTGGGTATAGGCTACCGACTACAGGTTACAGTGGGTTACATACAGGCTGCCCCGCGTCGCTGTGCACGGGGTGCTGCTGTTGAGCGAGCGGGTGCGAGCTACTGCTGCGGACTGTTGTTGACTGGGCACAAACTGTAACTGGGTATTGTGCGCAGGCAGCAGCTGCCTAGCCACTACTGTTGAGCCAGGGGAACTGCGCGGAGGTTGTTGTATACCGTTGTGGGCGGACTGCTACTGCGTCTGGCTACAACCTTTATTGTTGGTTGTATCCGAGTGCAGGCTGTTGCTACTGACACCAACTACTGTTGCGGTGATCGCTGTTGCGGGTTGCTGTTCGGCTGCTGGCCAACGCTGTGCATTGTTGCAGGCTGCTGATGACTGTTGGAGGTTGAGGCCATTGCTGCTGGCCGCCATGGAGTTCTGTCGCGCATAAGGACGGACATAGGGCGCTGGGGCTCAGAGAAGTAGTGGGACTAGGGAGGAAGCTGGATGCTACGGGGTGGAGGCTCGTCAGGATGGGTCACTCCAGCAGTCGGAGTTCGTTGGCCAAGCTGTCAGTTGGCTGCCATTGCGGGGCCCTCAGGCGAGTGAAGACAATAAGGCCCTCTCTCGCAAGTCTGAGTGCACCCCTCTTGGATCTGAGCGTCTCAAACTTTCTTCATCTGCCCCTCTAACTCTAAGTCTGGTCTATTGGTCCCGAGAGGAAGGCGGCAAGCGGGATTGCAACCCGTAGGACCGCATCAAGACTCTGTGGGGAGTCCACCCATCGATTGCGGGAGCTCTGCCGGAACCTAGGCGAGGCTCTGGAGGCAGGGAACCATCAGGTATATTATCGTCCTACTTGTATGACCCCATATCCCCCATGTTTGCCTATTCCCCCTATGGCTTGATTGTTGTATGCATGCTTGTCCCTATGATTCTGACTTTCTATTCGGAACATAACCAGACAAAGTCAAAGAATGTATGTATAAAGTTAAGTTTCGACTTCTTTGACTGATTGAAGGCAGATTGTGAGATTGCATCTGGGGGAAGGGTGGGAGAAAGACCGTATTGCATAAAGTTTGACCGGGTCAACCAAGGGCTGGGCCAGTTCCATAAGCTTGGGAAGGCCCAGTGCTATGTTTCTTTTGTATCGCTTTGAGAACCAGACATGTCCCATAAGTTTGGGTGGTCTGGCTGCTCTCACTTGTGAGGGCTAAATGTGGTTGTTTTTTCAGGCGCCAGTCAAATCCATAAGTTTGGGTAGTCTGGCGATCTTGTTTATTTGGGGTTTTTTTGACAGTTTCTTTGGTTTCTGAACGAGGAGGTGAGCATGTCCCATAAGTTTGGGTGGCCCTACCTCTTCCTGCTTTAGTCGAAGAGAAAATAAACCAGGCTGAGGACCAAGACATGTTCCATAAGTTTGGGTGGTCTTGGTCCAACGCCTGACACATGCTAGAACCAGAAGGGTATAACTTTGATATACTTTACTACTAAACTATCTATGAACAGGTTAGTCTGGCAGGGTTCCATAAGTTTGGGTGGCCTTACTATAGCTTATCACTAACTGAAGAGAGTACTTAATTAAGAATAAACTTGTGGTACAAAGGGGCAGGCTGAGTCTTGAGCTGAAGATGATCAGCTCAGCTATATGCTACCTCAAAAGACTAAGGGTAGACGAATTATATAAATCTTGGATACTTAAACTGTTCAGGGCCACTAGGATGGCCTAGTCATACGCCCAAAGAAGAGAAAAGTTGTTGTGCTCTGTGTTTGTGTATACTTCTTGGCTGGGCTAGACATGTTTCATAAGTTTGGGTGGTCTAGCCTTATGCCCTAGGTAAGTTGGGTATAAGGGACAAATCATTGAAAGGCTACGAGCTATTGTTTGCTAAAGTAACTTGGGGATGGTGAGAGAGTGCATGTCTGTGGTTTGGCCTGCATGTGACTGAGTGATGCCACTTCTTAGTCTGAGTTTGGATTTTGATAGGTAGTTGCTGTAGTTGCTCGCCACGTGCTAGAGCCACAGGAGTTAGAGTCATTTCCTGCATTTTCTGGGCTCGTTTTTTTTACTTAGACCCATTTTTGCAGT